TGTGAGAGAGAGAGAGAGAGAGAGAGAGAGAGAGAGAGAGAGAGAGAGAGATGAGAAGAAGCAAAAAGGACCACCAGTCAGCCATCAGCCTGTCTGTGGCACCAGAACATAGAACCTGGTCCACCAGTGTGCCCGTTCTTTCTCCCTTGGACCAGTAGTCTCCTCATCACTGTGCCAGCTGTTTAGAGTACACAAAAGGAGACTGTAAATCCTGAGGGAACAGGAGGCTTGGGGTCAGAAGGCTTTCTAACACAAGTTTTCAATATTTGGGACCAGCTGAAACAGCTCACAGGCAATTGAGACTTTGTGTTGGTATTTCCTCAAGTTTTGAAGTATATCCCACACAGAAATCAATTTACTAACAAGTACAGAGCGGGGAGGAGAGAAGCAGGAAGAAAGGGACTCTGGAAAGGAGGAAAAAACTGCAAGTAGCCTCAAAGACCTCACAAACTAATCTTGACTGAGTCCTTTCTACATGGGGTCTCAGACAAGTGCAGTCTGGCCCTTAAGGAGCAAGTAAGTACATATGGATCAAATGTGCACAGATATACTAGGCAGCTGAAAGTGGAAAGTGCAGAACATGGACCAAAGATACTAAGAGAGTTTAGAGGAGGGAAAATATGATCGTGGTGGAGAAAGAAAGGGTCAGGCTGTTCCACAGCCCTCTTCACTGCCATCGGGCTGGGTCCTGCCCATCTCCCAGAGCGGGATGGAGCTCTGGGTCCTGGCCTGTGGTTTGAGCCCAGGAATTGGAGACAGGGGGGCTGGGGTGGGGTTAGGTGGGCGGTGCCCCATCCATGCACATTCATGAATCTTCCTTTCTGGCCCGGAGTGCCCCTCCTGCAGAGCCGTTACAGTGGGATGGGGGAGCAGCAAGGGTAGGGGTGGGGAACAGCCAGTCCCTCAGGCAGCTTGGATCTCAGGTTACTTCTTGTGCTGCTGGAAAAAAGTCCTTGGTTTCCAGAGTCAGATTTGATTACAGCAGCCTGGCAGTTTTGTCCCTGTTGGCTGGAGGGCTGTTTAGAGCTGGGACTTTCTGACACCCAACACTGTCACTAGATCTCCACACACATTAGGAGGCAGCTTGCCACTTGACCCCAGTCTGCCCCTTGCTAGCATTTGACCTTCAACAAGTCATTCTACTGCGTATACGGTGAGGGGGTTAGTTCAACACAGACAACTCCAGAATTTCATGTCTCCACGATTCTGTGCGGCTCCCCCCCCCAATAAACTGTTCAGCACTGTATAGTCCCCATGAACACTCTCTCCTTCCCTCCTTTTCATCAGATGATATTTATGTACCTTCCTATATGCTGGACCCTGTGTTAGCCCTGGGCTATGTCAATGAAAGACACAATCACCGCAGCCCAGATGAGGCTGTGAGGAGGCTGTCTGGGAGAAGCCCCTGCCTGTTTAGGGGACACAGGTTCTAGAGAGGAAGTGGACTCTAGGGAGAACAAGGTGTGGGTTGGCCAGAGAGCAGCAGGCTGGAGGATGGCCATCCAGACCCAGAGAGCACCCCACAGGCTGGCCTCTTCTCAGTGACTTTATTACAGTGACACGGGAATAGCGTAGAGGCAAGGAGACACTTACCCTTCTTTCAGCAGTGACAAAACTAAGGCAGGCTAGGATGTTGTGACTTGTCCAAGGGCACACTGGCGCAGGGCTATTTTTGTTCTACCATCACCGATGTTAAAAGGTAGAGAGGTGAGGGGCATCTAAGAAGTCTCTGCATTATCGCCGCAGCTTTTCTGTAAATCTAATATTATTCCAAAATAAAAGGGTTATTTTTTTTAAATGTGGAGAACTTTTGACCTGCATCATCACTGTCTGATATGCACCAACCAATCAATTAATCCGCCATTACTGTTCACTGGATACCTGATAGGAAAAGCAACTAAGGGGTATGAACATGTATAAAACGCCGTGCTTGCTCTTTGAGCGCTCAGATTTCCCCATGGGAAAAAGAAGACATGTTCAAGTGCAACATTATTTCTGACAGTACAAGGCAGTGTGGCAAGGGCCAACAATACGTAAAAGCACAAAGGAGGAGGGGAGAAGCCACTACTAGGAGGATGTTTTTTAAATAGGGATGAAGACTATTTCCTTCTACAAAACAAGTTAACAGTGTTTTTAACTTAATGAACACTTGAAATACATGAGCACTTTCATCAATCGGACATACATTCTCTCAGTCTTCATGCATTAGTCATAAGGAAACCCACTAAGCCTTATTGATTCTACATCCTAAATATCCCTCACATTGATCGCCTCATTGCTAACCTCACTGACACTGTCCTGTCACCTCTCTCCTGGACTAATCCATTAACCTTATCGATCTCCCTTTCTTTAGTCTCGAGCCAGCCCAACTGCCAACTGCCGGCCGTTAGGTCCCTGGCTGCACTGCTGCCTGAGTTACAATATCTTCCCCAAGGCACTGAGCTGACAGCGCCAGGCTTGGGCGGCCTAGGCAACTCGGGAGCCTCACCTGCATACAGCAAGCGAGCTCCTTCACAGGTTGCTCCGTCCACCTCTTTACCCTCTT